CCCCCAAAACCCCAAAACCCCAAAACCCCTTATAAGAAAAGTAGAATTGAACTAGTAATAATTAATATGGGAAATCAATCTGTAATCCCTGCTCAACATGCAGGTCAGTGGAAGAGAGGCATGTATGTCAGCGAGGACAGGAACATTCTTAAAGCCCAAGGGGCTGGAAGAAGGAAACATTCCAGGATCATGGTCTGGCACAAAGACCATATCAATGGCCTCGAGATCTTCTATGGTAAAAAGTCCACAGGGGTCAGAGGAGGCAAAGATTATAAACTCTCTCCTTGCCAAGTCGTCACACTTGGCTCTAATGAGTTTATAACTTGTGTTGCTGGTACTAAGACAGAAGCCATTGACGAGCTAATATTTTACACGAACAAAGGCAATATCTTCAAAACTGGAGTGAACAAAGGAGGTATCCCTTTTACACTCAGTCAAGGAGGTGATAAGTTTGTAGTCTATTTTAGCATTGGAATGGAGGAGTATCTTACCTACGTTAAGGTAGATTTCAGATACCTGCCTTCTCTGTTTGGGCATAATACTGCTCCATTCTGCCATGTTAATAATATGGCTATACAGCAAAGAGCTGTATATCCACCTATTCAGAACTCATTGGTGCAGAGAGCATCTGTCCAGCCTAATATTCCTGTTCAGGAACCAATAAGCTCTGCCCAACCAATTCCTGCAGTTGGAGGAGGCCCTTCCAGGCTAAAGACGGAGAGGATCTCAGCTCCTCTACCTGAGAAGCTGTTCCAACCAAGTATTAATCAAGAAAGAGAGGTCCAAAGCGACTGAGAGAATTCTGATGAGGAATCAAAGTACGACCACTTCGAAGATGAAATGGTAAGTTTTAATTTAGAAAATTAAAATCCTAATCTTTTCTTTAGAAATCTTCAGATGCTTTATGAAAATCTCATGTTGGGTCTGCCAAGATGCATGGAGCGATGATCCCAGTTGTTGGAGAAGCTGCTTCTGATTCCTCACCAAAAGCTGAGGATGCTAAAGCAGCTTCATCCTCTGCTGACCAGCCGAGGATGAAGCGACTCGGAGAGATTGTATGCTGCAAATCTAATGTTGCCGGAAAAGTTTATTCAAATACGATAATGTTCGATGACTATGAATCTTTGATTAAGGGAAGCCTCAGTGCGTATCTTTATGAACTCCGAATCATATACGATTCTGACTTTATCTATGGCATCCAAGGCTTCTATCAGGTGGATGGCAGGACCGTGGCCGGTCCTGGCCACTACGGAAGAGAAGTCCACTCCAGGTGCCAGAATCAGTCACTGAAGTTACAATATGGGGAGTGCATTGTGAGTATTTCTGGGAACTATCAAGATGTTGTGAATGGTTTGATGATAACGACTTCGTTAGGGAAAACTTATGCCTTTGGCAACTATACAACTCGAAGTGATACTTCTAAGTGAACCACGTTTAATTTAGTTGTTCCTAGTGGGAAAAGAGTCGTTGCGCTGGCTGGAGGAGCCAGTGGATACCTGAATACCTTTGCAGTTCATTATACTTAAAGCCTAATCTATGCTAATAGAAATATTTGTTTCAATTTTTTCTGAGCCTTGAGGGGTTTTGGGGTTTTGGGGTTTTGGGGTTTTGGGG